GCTCCATTTTATGTTAGGTGAAGGGACCTTAAATCTTACATGTGCAAGATTCAAAGCACCATTTGCACTGCATTCTGTGTACAGGAATATTTACCAAAGCTTTGTGAAAGCAATGCTTGACTTGTGCCTTTAAAAGCAAAACTGGGAAAGAATTAATGCTTTGGCTACTGTAGCATGATGAAAACTTCCTGAAATTACAGATCCCCTTTCTGAAATGACATAAACAAATGGAAAGAAGCCACTTGGAGAAGAATAAAAGCACTCCCTGAAAAGTTAGATTTCTAGAAATAGCATTATGTGGATTAAAATTCATAACTGGGTATATACATTTCTTTCTCTCTGTAGAAGAGTTCTGATTTTCCAAAGGAAACTGTGGGAGGAAAAGACTTTTGCTACTGAAGTTGTTTTTACTTCGTCCTGAAAAAACTGAAAATGTTTGTACAAACTCGATTGTAATACATGTGAGTTTTAAACTTGGCCTTTAACAAATGTGAAATCATTGTCAGTAGTAATATTTTCTAAATGCTTTAAAGTTGTTGAGTGCAAGTTGATTTTTTTTCCCCACTTACTTGACCAAACTTATTCCTAGTATGTGTCCCCTGTCTGGTCCCAATCATTACTGTTTGCAGTTATGATCCCACCCTGCTTTTCACTAGAATGAGGCTGGAATGAGATTGGATCATATCCATTATGTGCCAGGGTCTCCACCAGTATATTTGCAATGTGAATAATTTTGAGGACCACCAGTCTGACTGGGAGCATGAAGAAAAGCAGTGGAATTTGTATCAGTTATTTCAGGTTGTAACTCTTATAGCTAAGTTTAACTGTATTTTATGATGGGAGCTGCTGCCCTGGCTCAGGTTGTTGTTTGAGAGCCGTGGGAACACCACCTTTCCCTGCAGATAACAGATCATGTCTGTGCTGCATGTTCAGGGGCCTCTTTTCTGCAGAGGTGATCTGAAGTTAAGGACAGGTGGCTCAGAGAAACAACTAATCTTAAATTCTTTTTGGTCTTTAGCAAGTAGTCCCACTCAGTCTAAATCAGGCTTTAAGGCTTTTGTTTGCTCTAATGCAATTGCACATGTGTTTTACTCAGACTCCAGCGAGCCAGACTTTGGCAGCAAGACTGGATAAGCTTTCTATAGGTTTTTAAAACCAAATTGCATTGTGCTGCTCCCTGGGAAAGTGTCTTCCTTGAAAATGTTTAATCCACCCTCCCTACCCCCATCGGTTGTGAATGAAACTATCCGTGGCATACAGTGACAGTTTGTGAGTCAGTTTGTGTCTTACCTAAGAAAAAAGATTCTTTTTCTTTCTCCATGCACAGTGTTATGCACTTAGAGATGTCTTTTTCATTTACAGTGTGGGAAGTACACCATGGATCTGTGATATCCCTCTGCCTTGTGGTGGTTTCAATAACACGAGCATGGTCATTCCAGTTCAAGAACTTTCTGCACAGGAAAAACAAGGGGAAGAATTGGGTAAATGTGCTAATCTCTAGAGCAGTTTTATGGTTTTCACCAACCCAATTAAAAATAACCATGGAATTATGATTGAGTTAAAACCTGGGAATTTCAGTATTCTGAATAAAATGAAATGTGACACAAATATTTGCACACGAGTACATTGTACAAAAGTGTACAGGTGACAGGATGCGAATTGCAGTATTATTCAGGAAAAACAGAGTTGAAGTTCACCCTCTCCATGTGCAGTGAAGGCAAAAATGAAGCTCACTTCCCAAAGAACCACAAGTTCTCTGAGATGCATTATTGGGATAGATAGATACACACTCCTCTCCAGAGTGTAATTGTATAAGTGAGTGACTGTTTCACTGGGATATATTTCAGCTGCAGGACTGTCATAGTGGTTAGGCTTGTAGAGACTTCCACCTTTTCAAGCTCTTTATCTGAACAAGCCTTATAGTTTTCAGTTTATCTACAAAAGGGCTTGGAGACCTGGGAAAAGGAGTGAATGAATCAAAGATGCTGCCAAGACTTGCACTGTGCCAGATTTTCTTTGTCATTTTGTGGTTCTTGGCAAAGATGAGGCTGGAAATCCATGTTGTTGACCAGCATGGAATCATCTCTTGGGAAGGGAAATGCTGTGCTCCTGTGGAGGAAAATGATGGTGTTTCCCTGCCTGTCTCATGGCCAGACCTGAGATCTTACAATGAGATGCTATTTCTGAGCTAAGAAAACCACAAGAAGGGATCATTTTGCCACTAAAACAGACAGTTTCATGCTGTCTTAAAAACCCTCAATGGGTTTTTGATGGCTTTCTTCATTATTTTGGAATTCAATCAGAAGAGATTTATGGGGCAAAGAATCAGACTACTGACATGGAATAAGGATTGGAGTTCAACCTAAGGAAAGACATTAAGGTAAGCTCAGAATTATCCAATAAATCTTCATTTCCCCCATCCTCTTTATAGAAGTAATTGCCCCCCAAAAGGCCAGTTTAACTGAGGATTCAGCAGGAAGCAGATGGGATTCACTGTGACATTTACCAGCATCATGCCACCATTCAAATGGAGAATGGGGTCTGGGTTTCAGGGCAGAAAACTCCCACTGAAATTTTGAGAGCACTTGTAAGTGTAGAGAAGGAATGACCTCTTTCAGTCAGTGGCCTGAAATTCCTGCCAGAAGCTTTCAGCTCAACTGTGTGCTGTGAAGCAGTCTTAAAACTGACCAAGAAATCACAATATAGGGTAACTTTGGGTCAGGCAAGCTGAAGCCCTAGTACAGTATCTGGGGAGGGTGGTAACAAAGCTTTATGAGAGGTGCTACTCGTATTAGAAATGAGCTCTGAAGAATGTGAAATTTTTCCAGTAACTAGAATTGGTAACAATCCAGCTTTCCAGGATCCTCAAATATAATGCAAAAAACCCTTTATTTGAAACTGAATGCAATTAAAAAAAACTTAGTCATAATCAAAATGAAAAATAGCGATGTTATTAGCAAGAAGGAGGCAATATAGCACAAACACAAAAAATTAGAGTTTTTTCATTCAGCACTATAAAACACAATAATGAATATCCAGGGCATGAAAAAACTCATTTGAGGTGGTGTCTGGAACGCTGATACAGAGCACCTTTATATTGCACCCTGAAGGAAAGCTCAGTGCCTTGTGACTCCTGACTGAATTTACTTTCCCAGTCCCAATCAGTTCCAGATTTTGTGGGTGAGTGACATCCATGAACCCACAAGAACCCCCTCTAATGAACCCCATAGGCCTGGAAAGCCTGAGCACCTGGGCAAAGCTGGGCAAGCTTCTCCTGACCTGGGCAAGAAAGGGAAATCTGGACATGAGCTCCATCCTGTACTTGGGGACAGGATGCAACTTGCATCTAGACATGAGTCTCCAGTGAAACTGTAAATTTTCTATGTACTGAATCACTGTCTACAGTGATACCTGTTGGGATTTGAGAAAAAAATATTGTCAGAGACAGGGATGTAAAGTTATTACTTTTCTCCCATGGCTTCAAAACTCTGGTATGTGGAGGAGACCCCCTATTAGATTTATCCTGCCCCTTGCTGAGGGGGAAGAGGAGGTGAAAATAACTAAAATAATTTTTGAATATGAATCCACAGACATTAGGATACATTGAGCCAAGCCCAAAATAATGCAGATGGGGTTCATTTGATGACAGTATCTTCCATAATATTGCAATAATTATTTTGATGCTTCTTGTATATTTTGTAATCTGAAAGTGCCTGTATAAGTAGCAGATAACCACTGTTAAAGACACGTGCAGTTTGCCGTATGCAGTAATTTTGAAATTTTTTCACAATCTTAAACACAGCCTTTCCCAAAGCACACTTAAAGGATTCTACAGAATGGCTCCATGCAATGCCACTTTTCTGCAGTAACACATGAAAAATGGTTCAATAACAAGTATGATTGCTCCCATCTCATGTATCTGAAGTTGCTATTGTCAAAATTCTGGTTCAGACATTTGACCCAGTTTAGAATATGAAACACAGAAAAAATATTGTCATCTTCACATAAAATATGACCAAACATCTTTGCTAGCAAAAACCAAACCAAGCCCAACTTTATTGAATCTATATAGAATACGTGACTATGGTGTACTGCAGAATTTTTCGTCATTTTTAGGGTAACCTGTATGCTCTCTAATGTTCCAAAATTATTCCAGTTTCATGTCAAAAAAAAACACTTTTCTTCTTTGAGTAAGGATTCTGATTTTACTTTGGATCTTCTGGAGAAGACTTCAGATTCTGTGGTAGTATAAACTAATAAGAGGAACTGTGAATGAGTTTTAAGGGACACCATGGACTCTGTTAAAAGCTCATCTTAGATAAACATTTAGCACATAATGCTTATGGAAAGCTATCTGCTCAAAAACTTCCTTCTGGCTACAGCTGCTTCATATTACACAGCTCTGATTTATACTGGTATAGGTCAAGACAAATGATCACCGTGCAACTGCTGGGAATTAGGTTAATTCAGATTATTTTGCTATAGGTTCTTGACTATTACAGACTTCTGTTTGAGCTCTCAGACAGGTTGCCTTCCAGACAGTTGCCTGGATGAGATTTTGGAGGCAGGTGTTAACTGTGGAAACTTACTTAGTATTAAACTCACTTGTCTGTTGCCACTGACTTTGGAGACGATATTTTAATTTTTTTCCCTGGTCATTGTCCTCCACAAAAGACCTAATTGAAAATATCTGTCAAATCATGTCTCTGGTTTCCCTCTTCTTCCCCCGCCCCTCCATTAATTGGACACGTATTGTGTTTGTGTGGGAAGGAAGGAGGCTCTGTACCAGGGTAGCAATATTGCTGGGAAAAGAGCATTAAAATGGATAAAGGGATTTCCTATTGGTATAAATACCTGCACACGACGTCCCTGTGCTCCGGAGCCCTCCTCTGTGGGTATATCCAGGTAAAATCCTGGAATAGAGTTTGAGGTGCCATTAATCCTGCAGGATCTGCTCTGGTAGAACACGGGGCAGGCAGCTCTCTCACCTCTAGGAGGGTATGAGCTGCCAAGCATTTGCTTCCTCAGACACCTTTGTGCCCTTGAATTCTGACTCTTCTCCCTCTCTGCCTCTGATAATGCATCACAGCGCTGCAGAGTGCCTGCAGGTCTCCAACCATACCACCAATGTTGTGTCTACAGGTACTTTTTGAAAATACTCTTGCTGTCATTTGTAATTTTTGGGTGATATTGAGCTCTCAATGTTTAAAGTGTTCAGTGTCAGTGTTATGTATGATTGGGACTGCGCCACAGTAGAAGAAATTTCACAAAGCTCTGCATATGAGTGAATCAGGAAAAGCACAAATGTTGGTGTTTTAGCTAAATATGTAATTTTCTTTAAGTTTGTTACAATATTAGACTCAAATATGCTGCCAACTTAGGTTCAGACACTGTCACTGGTATAACTACAGTCTTCAATGACAATGGTCATGTAAATTATTTGAGATGTTGTTTATTATGCAACCATAATTTCAAATATTATATATTACCTTAAGTAGGAAATATATGTAGAAGACCTCAAGTGTAAATACATCTTGGGGGAGTTTTAAAGAAGGAAAAGCATTGCTTTGCAAGGCATATTGCAAACTGAGTCAAGACTAAGGTTTAAGTGTGATGTTCAAAATGTGTAGTAGAAACCTTGTCATTATTTTTGAATCTTGTATATTTGTGTATATAATCCAATTGAATTAATTTAAATACTAGGACTATTTAATCACTGAATATCTGAGCCAAAGAGAGTTTTCTTGCAGTGTTAATACTGCAGAGGCAGGATTCTGGAATACAGGAATTGTTGAGAGAAAGCCTTCAGGGAAAGAAATAGTTGATTTATTTGAAATTATATTAACATTAGAATTTCATTTGGAGTCTTAACAAGAAAGTGGATTTCTCCTGAAAAGCATTGGTAATAAAGCATTTTAATGAAAAGAAAAAACATGTATGTAGTGAAAATTGATTTTCAGTAACAGAAAACAGGATCATCTTATACATTAAGCAAGAGGCTCAAAATATCCCAGTACAGCTGTGGGTTAGCAATAGTGGCAGGGAATCGGAGAATTTAAATTTTGTATGAGGTCAGATTTATGTGTCTGCATCCCAGCAGTATTTTCTAGGTTCACGATGAGGGCTGGCCCTAAGGATCTTCTCACCTGCTGCAGGTTTAGATTTTGGTGTTTTGTATCTGCCACTCAAGGACAAATGTCACTGCAGACAGTGGAAATTTTGATTGCAGGATCACATCCAGAAGATGATCCTGTGAAAAAATGACCCTGGGAAGGCAGAAACAGAATGGTGGTAACTACAATGAGTCAAGATTTACAAATTTCCTATATAGATTAAGGAAGTCTCATAAAAAGTGCCACTTTGAGTGCATATGAGGAGAATTTGTGTAAAATATAATGGTGAAAGAATTCATTTTAACGTCAAAAGTTTTAAAAATGGATGTAACAATTCTTTATCGCAAGAAAGGTAAAAATACTTCTGCTCAAGTACTACGTTGTGTCATTTAGCTGATGCTTTGCAGTATCCTCAACACTTTAACTGCTATTATTTCATTTAAATAGCATCATCCTTACTATTTAATTTTAAATTGTTATTAGCAAATCAAAAATTGTATTTTAATGTATAAAGTTTATAGTATGTGGATTAAGAAATAGTGGAAAAATGCAACCTATAAAATCTCAGCTCTTGACAGAAAAGTTGAATTGCTGTGCATGCATTGCAGTTATTAATACAATCTTTACTTTCACTGCATCTACATTAGTATAAGCATGTTTATCTTAGTACATTTTATATCTGTACAAGTATATTTAAATAGGACACTTTACTGTTATGATTACTGTTGTAAAATTCAAAGATTCTAATCCCTAATTAAATAGACTGTTTTGAACAACAGGAATGTGTTCTTTAAAATGTGGTTTTACATATCTGAATGTTCATGAGCATTAATTTTTAATATTCTGTTTTATTGCACTTGTTAGAGGGGATAGTACATGCATTTTTATTTCTATTTATACATGAGAAACAGACATATCTCTATATTGCACTTAGCAAAAAATGGTCTCATTCTTCAGGCACTGGCTATTACTGAGCACAGACCCGAAATACCCCTGTGAAAACACTAGAGACAAATTAAATGTGTTTGTTGGTGCTGGTGATGGAAAATGTTTATTTAGGCCTGACTTGTTAGAAGAATCCAGAATTTGCCATCTTGTTTCTCGACCACCTTGCCAAAGCGCTCTGAAATTGCTTGGCACACAAGAAATTGTGGGTTTTGGACACATCAAAGCAAATGTCCCAAACTGCTGCCTTTGGAAACCCCGGCCTTCATTTGCTGCAGAGTTTGCTCGACAGTGAAGGCACTTTCCTGAGACCATAAATTAGTTTTTGTGTGAGATAGAATGAATCAGCCTGTGGAAGCTGTGTGAGGAGAGGAACAGGTCTCCTCCTGAAGTGTGCAATGCTTCCCCTTCTCAGCAGTTTGTGCAAACTGGGTTATGCCCATAGATTACACCAAAAGCAGCTCATCAAGGGACAGCACGGCAATTCCTGCCCTGCCTCACAGGATGTCCCCCTAGTTCTGTTAGCGTTTGGAAACACACATAATCACGGGGTATGATTAGATGCAGGTGCTTTTATTAAGAGCTCTGGGAGTCGGGGTACAAACCCAAATCTGACTCTGACATGGCTTTCGAGCTGAAGGTATTTTATACTCTATCGTTATATAATTTACACATTAATTATTAAACTTACATTGCTCTATTGTATACATTGACATGAGTTTATCATGATCTTTCTTAGGTCCATGACCACAGATTCACATGATTATTCTTTCTGATTAAACAGTAATTATATTTAATTACTAAACAATCGTCACATCTAACAATTATATCAATTATCATGTACTAGCTACATAGTGCAGTGCTAGTTCTTCATGTGCTAAAGGTGTTTATTTTTCCAGGGCCTACTAAGCTTATTTTTCCTGTTAACCCTAAATCCCCATGATTTTAAAACCCTTTTACTATCAGTTCTAGTGGCACTTCTCCCTGTTAACCTGATGCCTGTGGCCCTGTGTTAAACGCTCACAGAAGAAGCTACAGAAGCACAGAAGGCATTGGCTGCCTCAAACTTAAAGGCTCTGTCTTGAATCTTGAGTTCTTATGAGTCGTGTCTGTTTTCTCTTTGCTCCCAACTCGTGCGTGTTGGTGCATTGGCCTTGCCGCGACAACGCCGCGAACCCTTGGCCAGGCCTGCACTACTCTGTGCCCTCCTGTCACTACGGGAATCAACCTTCCACCTACGGGGTGATGACAGGTAAGAGGCCAACCCTCAGCTGGGTGAGCTGGCAGCATGTGGATCTTAGCCAGTTTTCCTTTAGAGGGACCAGTCCAGGACAATTGTTTAAAGAAGATGGGATTTGGATTAAGGAGTTAGAAAAAGGGTTAGGAAATTAGTGTCCAGAGTGTCCCAAACCTCTGCGTCTCTCGTGAAATCATTCTGTACCTTATGTCTCCCTACAAGGCTGGGAAAGTCCTGCTCTTTTTGCTCACCTCTGGCCACGTCTCCTGGTGATTATCACTTTTTGAGGGGCCAGAAGTGACATACACAACACACTTGTGTGTGACCAGTACCTGGGCTGATGAAGCCCTGGCTGAAGCTATAAAATAAGATGATGGCATAATGAAGTGTCCTGGCTTGTAAAGACATAAAGGGATAGGTGAATTTAGCAGGCAGATCATCCATGAGATCATGGATTTTTACACTCCTTAATGCATCCTGCTCATTCTTCCCTGTCCCAGGCTCAGTAAGAGTAAGGCTCACTTTTATTCTGTGCAAGTTTAAGCAGCAATGAGATAATGTCATGAACCAAGTTAGCATAACTCCCAGGAAATAACTGGGACTTGAAAATAATCCAAAATCAAACTCAGAATTTTATTTCATTTAAGAATTAAGGAAATACTAGAGAAAATCAACATGGACTAATATGTCTGCATGGGGACAGAGTGTCCCCATGTGCACACCTTCATGGGGTGCAAATTTCAAAATGTTTGTATTTCATCATGCACCTCTGTGTCTTTTGCAAACATTGGCATTGTCCAGGTCCCTGGAGGAAGTTAAGAAGTAATAATAAATTATATTGCTCAGAAATTAGTTTTCTTTAATTCCAAAATAAATACATTTGTACTCTTCTCCTTTCTTTTCTTATTTCCATCTTCTTTTCTTATTTTATTTTCTTAGGCATCAAGCCTGCAACCCCAGAGATGCTCTCAGCAAGTCTCTCCCAGACTCGCATCTTACAGACATGCAGCATGCCCCACCCCAATGTGGTAAATGGTGTCAGCACCTTGCAAAGTAAGTCCCCCTCTTTTAAAGTATTTTTCATTATTTTTTGAGATTTTTTTTTATGGTTGTCCTGTGTGAAGTGTATAAAATAGTTCTATGGGGTTAGAACCTCCAAGACTAATGGGAGTAATTGGGGCAGTGAAGAAAAGCCTAGCCCTAATAAATGGAGGAAGCAGTGGGGAGGTTAATGAAGTTCTGAGCTCTTCTACACAGTTTTGTGTAGTTTAGAAAATTGGGAAGGATGACCTGAGAACCTGGAATTTACTGGCTGCTCCAGATACACTGAGGAGTGTTAATATTTCTCCAGTAATTCCCTCCATGCCTCCATCAGGTCAGAGACTTTTTAGCTCTACATACAATATCTAGGGAAAAATCAGTCTTCATTCTTAACTGCATGTCTTTGTTAAGTCTGACATTTGGGAACAAAAGGTAGTGAAAGATAGTTCTGTTTTATCCTTGAGCAATTTCTTTTTTGGAGGATCATTCTGAATGAGTTCTGGTTTGTTTTTTTCTTCCTTTGAGATCTTACCTTTGTAGTTTCCTCAAAGAAATTCTATGCTGCAGCTAAGCCAAAATAGTACCTTGTCTGAGCATCAAATGGCATCTACATGGAAGTATTCTTTGTACCAGAAAGTAGAGATGGGCAAATTTTAAGTGACTCAAAATGACGCAGATCCATTGATCTTGTTGTGCCACTTAAGTCCAGCTTAGAGCATGGATTTTTATTTGTGTAAGTTTAGGCCTTTTATTTAAGTGCTTCACAGTTTGCTAAGTGATAGGATGCCTGTGGCTGGTGAAAGGGGCAAAAAAGAGAAAACACATCCTCGGAAATTCTAACTCCTGGATTCTCTCAGGTGTATTATATAATTAAAATTGCAGGCAGGGATGACGAGGCGGCGAGGGGAGGTTTTTTATCTGTGCAGCAGCAGAGAATGACTGCAATGAGCTTTCCTTTTGGCGTTGCCCAGGTGGTCTGACCCCTTGCCTGTACAAGTTCCCGGAGCACGCGCTGAGCGCCGGTTCCTGTGCCCTGGGCCACGGCTTCACGGCCCTGCCCCAGCCCCTGCTGACGGACGAGCCCACTGCCACGGACTTCAAGCAGGAGTTCCGCAGGAAGAGCAAGCCCGTGGAGGAGCCCGTGGACATGGACTCCCCTGAAATCAGGGAGCTGGAGAAATTCGCCAACGAGTTTAAGCTGCGGAGAATCAAGCTGGGTATGTGCTTCATGTCCATGAACAAAAGGCTGGAAGATTCCAGTGAAAGCCCAATTATTTCTGAGTGTTTTATGGTCTGGCCTCTGCTGTTGTCTGAGCATAACTCTAATCCTGCCTCGCCCTGCAAAACTTTCTCCATTCCTAGAAGACTTGCATGGAATTAATAAATGTCAGCTTTAAGTTTGCAAAAAGGGGCTTTAAACTTTCCTGCCCTTAAATTATTTGTGTAAATGCAGAGAAAATTATTTCTGTTCAGTAGCTTATATTCAGTGTCAGGTTCAATATTTTGCACAGCTCCAAATTATCTGCAGCTAAGGGCAGATAGCTCCCATAACCATCCAACCTCCCATCTGATGGTCTAGTGTCGTTTCAGTATACACTGAGTGACATCCATGGGAAATCCTTCACTCCAGTAGGAAGCTTCTCTTTCTGGTTTGGTTTTTTTTTGTGCCATGGCACAGATGGGAAGCAATTGATATCTTTGTTGCTGTGAGATAACTGCTGAGGACAAGGTGGGCTGACCCCTGTCCTCCTTGGCATTATCACTTATAATATTACATCAGAACTATAGGGAATAATTTTATTTTATAAATCTAAAAAATTATAAGGTTATATGGGGTATGTGCATTATCTCAACAGCTACAAAGCCACTATGTTCCATTTGCAGTCTAAACAGAAATAAAAGAAATTAAGCAGAAATAAAAGAAATTAAGGTTTAAAAACTATTTGCAAACTGGCCAGTTTTCCTTATATCTTGTATTTTTTGTCAGCCACAGTGATAGAAGGCCACATATAGTTAATCACTGCATCTTCATCCTGAATTTTTGAGGGAACAAAACTTCCTTTGGTGTAAGCAAATCACATGGAGCTTGTAGAATGGGAGAAACACAATATGCACAGGAAAAATAATCTGAGTTTGAGCTTTACAAGGAAAAACTGGTTGTGGGTCTGAGAGGCACAGGGTTAGCGCAGTCAAAAAGGAGCTTAAAAGGTGCCTCATGGGACACTGAGTGCCTAAAGAGATCCTGCCTTGTCCTGGCACCAAAGCAGAAAAGGAGGATGATGATCCAGTCCCCCAGCCACAGCAGATCCACATTCAGTGAAATGAGCAGGGAGCTGTTGAAGCAAAGTCAGAGTCTGCATGGAAACTGCAGCATTTCTCTGAGAACTTCAGCTTAGCTGTTGTGACAAATAACAGGAGAGCAGCAATGCCTCCAGCGATTCACTTACTGCTCTTGCACCATCTACAGAAAGACATACTGTGTCTGGATCCTTCTCAAATCCCTAATCGAGTGTGAAACTCCACTAAATCAGTGTCACAATCCAGGGAGACCACCAGGAGCCTGAGCACAGCTCTAAGGTGAGCTCCGCTGGCCACAGGGACCTCTGTGGGAAGCTCAGCCTGAAGGCACTGAGCACACACTGTCCATGAGAGCCAGCAGCGGAGGGTGAGCATCTCAAGGAAAGTAACCCTCCTAGAAAGCTTCAAAGTTGCTTTTCCCTCTTTGTTTCTGGCAGGCTATACACAAACCAACGTTGGAGAAGCCCTGGCTGCTGTGCACGGCTCCGAGTTCAGCCAGACGACGATTTGCCGGTTTGAGAACTTGCAGCTGAGCTTCAAGAACGCCTGCAAACTGAAATCCATCCTGTCCAAGTGGCTGGAGGAAGCAGAACAAGTGGGAGGTAGAGAAACTGAAATCCTGTATATAGTGATTTGCACCTCAAGCAGAATCCCATAGAAACGTTTTAGGGCTATTATGTGTCTTCTGTGGACTAAAGATTTTGTTTTACCAGCTTTAAATGCTGTGGTGTGCTTGTGTTAAAGTATAGTAATCTTAATTTTGGATGAGCATGGAGGGAAAACTGAAGTGCATGGAGTGTACAGAATAGCAGTAACATCTCCTGGGCTGCTGGAAGAAATTTCTTCCAGTCCCATCCCAGCAAACCAATTCCAGTCCTGTAGAGAGCCAGAGTAGGATCTGCAGGACAGCCCATTTAGCAGTGTACAGGGATTTTTCACTAGCAAAGTCCTTTTGCTTCAAACCATTTCTGCCTATAACCATTTATAATTGGAGGTAAAACAATGACCAGCCATCCTAACAAAGGAAAGATCCTGTGTGTGATGCTCCTCTTATTCAGCAGCGCTTTCTCTTGTGCTTTCTTCTTCCTTCAAACACAGTGACTATTTTTCTGCAAACGATTGTTCTTGTTTTCCAGTCCCTGTGGAATGTAACTGCCAGCTTTTGTTGTTTGGCTGCTTCTTCTTTTTTTAATACAGCTCTGTACAATGAAAAGGTTGGAGTGAATGAACGGAAGAGGAAGCGCAGAACCACCATAAGGTAATAAATATTTAGGTTATTACAGGTTAGAAACAATTTTGGCTAAGATACTTCTTTTTCTTGTCAAAATTTAAGTGCTCTTTTCTATTACTGAATATCTATATCTTGGGCTTCTAAAAGTTCCAATATTTGGAAATATTCTAGTGAAAAAAACCCAGCATAACCCTCCAGACCCCCAATTAATTCCAAAGTATTATATTTCATACTTTGCTCAAAACCTATGAAGTTGCTAGTCAAAAGTAATGATGTTTCTATACTTCTGTATGTGCAGAACACTATGTTATTTATTAGCCAGTTCTGTTAAACGTTAGTAAATATTGAAAAACTGACTTGTAAATGAAAGACCAGGAGATGAAAGGACTAGAACTCAAGCAGATACTGTATTTCTGTAGCAAGTACCTGCACCTCACTTCCAGAATAATGCATGAAGTGCCCTCTCGTGTCCAAAGAAATTACAGCTACTGCTGAAACTTCTGAATGCCTCCCAGTGGCACACAAGCATGTCACATATGTGGGTTTTTTAAAGTATGTAACAGAAATTGGAAGCAAATTCTATCTGGAAATAAGAAAAAATAAGAGTATTAAATTATTCTGTTTAGTGAACCACTCAGTTTTGGTCACTGCTGACTCTGAGGAACAGATGAGGGCAGACATTTGGAGAATGTGATGATGGCTAAAACAGCTGGCCGTAACCTCTGTGATTTCTAGGAATACTCTAGTGCTGTCTCTATAATTAGTGAGATGCAAAACACAGTATTTCCCAAATCTAAATGATGGAGCTCTTCCTCTCTGTAAACCCAAATGATTTGATACAACCAGGTAACACCACTGATGTGCATTTCCTGGGGCAGAAGGGTGGTCAGGCTTGTTCCAGTTCCTGTGACCCCACTCATAACTAGTTAGTAGCTATGTCTCCTAGATATTATCTAGGAGAAGCACCAATATTTTGTAATTAACATTGAAATTGCTCTGAACTTAATGCTGATTTTGCCTTTTAATCACCCCATGCCAAAATGCTGTACGATGTCAGGCTGCTTGTGTCAGCAGAGAACTACAGAGTATTTTTAGTGCTTTGGGTTCCTTTTACATAGAGAAAGATGAAATAAACCTAGTCACTGCCTTCAGTGTTGTTACTTGATCTTTCTCTTGAACTAGTGGTGAAAGCCTGAATGTACAGAAAAGTTTTTAAAGGTGAAATTTTACCCCTGTACCCAGCATCGCTGCCAAAGAAGCCCTAGAGAGGCACTTTGGAGAACAAAGTAAGCCGTCTTCTCAGGAAATTATGAGGATGGCTGAGGGGCTCAATCTTGAGAAAGAAGTCGTGAGAGTTTGGTTTTGCAACAGAAGACAAAGGGAAAAAAGAGTGAAGACCAGTTTACACCAGAACGCCTTCAGTTCTCTTATCAAGGAGCACCATGAATGCCGGTGAAGCTTTTCCATGTACAGATTTCTGTTTCGCTTTTTGTAAATATTGTAAATACTGTATTGTTAGAAAAAAGAAAAGAGAAAAATCAGTAAACCACTCGTTCCTCCTACATGCTAGCAGCAGCTGTAGCATGGGAAAGATTTTGCTGTCATTAACTGAGGCACTGTGAGCTCACCAGGACAGAGTTGTCACGCTGCTCCTACTGCACACTCTGTCTCAGCCCAACTGACTGAGACTACCTTGAACGGATGTCAGGTAGAAGTGGCTTGGATAATGCTTGTTATCAAAGGTAATTCTTGCTAATTTGTTATGTGCCTCAAAGTTTGGTTTGGGTAGGCTTAGCTAGACAAACAGGAATACAATTTATCTGACCTTAGGACTTTGTGGCCTGAGGGGAAGAAAAATAGTTATTGGGGGTTTTATTACATTGGTCTTTCTCTGAATTATACTTTCTTCTGATTAAAACCATGTGTAGACTTACTTACACAAGAGCTGGTGTGTTAAGCTAAAAAGTATACAAAAGAAGAATTTATTGCACTGCACATTCCCCCTCTATTACACCCCACTAATTGAAAATAATCCCTTATTTGTCATCCTCTAGCCTAGAGATAATCGAGGGGAAAAAATACCAGTGCCAAAGCTCCACCTATCAGGCAGGCACTGAGAAAACTGAATTAATGACTGTAGTACCCACCAGGGATAGATTATCCAGCCATCTCATCAGCCCTGCTAACTGTTATGGGAATTAGCCCATTACCATATAAGTATTTTGACTGTTTTCCCAGGACTGAAATTAAGTGAGTACACACAAGTAGTACTGGCCAGATACATTTTATTTTCCATAAAACAAACCTGATGATTTAGTAAATGTCTATATAATAGGCCCACAGAAAGCCAAAAGAGTTTAATGTTCAAGACCACTTAGGAGCAACATGTACAAGTTAAGTGCTCACTCTCCAGTGTACATTAAATTACCTCTGATACTTATTATAGTGACTGTAAGCATATTCAGCAATGGAAATCAGGCTCCTGGATTTCTAAAAAAAAAAAAATAAATACATTTTTATGCATGAATGCACCACTCTAAGCTCTGAACTGAGAAGAAAACTTCAATTTAATCACTAAAAGGGGAGAAACTGTGGCCATGTACTCCCTTCAGGCTGCTTTCATCACTAGCATAGCTCACCCGCTATAGCAGAGACCAAGGTGCACCACAGGTTATCAGCAGGTCATGAACTTTACAAAAAAAGTTTCAGCTGAGAGGATCAGCACTCAGCAAAGTGGTGGCATGCATTGGTGTACCTTTCATGTGATGTGGTCAAATGTTATGTATGTTGACATCACTATCTGGTATATAAAAACTATATTTATATTCTAAATTATTTTCTTAATTATAAGACGTCCTAGAAATGCTATCAGCCTGCACTCCCCAACCTTCTCATCCAATAAAGTATTCCTATACTTTTGGCACTCCAGGCAATGGTTTGTAGTTATGTTTTGGTAACACTTTACTCTTTTTTAGCTGTGTGTCATGCTGAAATGTAACTTAAAATGCTCTTAACAGATAGTTCCAGAGCACCCTCACTGCAACGTGATGGTCTCTTGCCCCTCAAAAGGTCTCACAAGTGAAAGCTAATTGCAGCAACAGAGTAAAATAAAATAAAAGGTGACATATAACAAAATCGTCTTGCAAAGGAATAACAAAAGGATAAGGAAGGAAGCAGCCATAATTTAAGCACACCTACCTACTGCCACAGAAATACAAACAAATTAGAATTATTTAAAGAAGAAAAGCTGGATGAAATAAATTTCAACTGCTGCAGCTGGAGCTTTAGTTAAGAGAAAGTGGCAATTCTTTTTTTCTTCACTAGGAACAACTTAATTGCCATCAATTACTCTTGATTGGGGTGGGGGGAGCCCAACCTGAATATAAGGCAGGATTTCCAAGGAGTAGCTCTATAAACATGCAGTTTAGTTGGCCATTCAGCCAAGCTACGCTATGCTGTTTTTGAGATATTTGTGGGTTTTTTTCCTTGCTCTTCTTTTGCCATGCTAACTTTAGGCAGGCTGTTGAAACCACACTAGAGGGCAAAACAAGGCGTTATCACAACATTTAAATCTGAGGTTCAGCAGTCTCTGCAGAGCTGTGATGCCCTCATGTGAGGGGCACAACTGACCAAGCACAGGCCAAGCTGCTGAGCAAAGGTTAAGGTGAATAACTTGAAGTTACTCTCTGCTAGACCTAATGTGTGTGCACTGGGTGCTATAGTCTGCTCAGTTATGGACTGTACTAAAAAGCTGATGGAGGAAGGCTGTTCACCTTCCTGCCAAATATAAGAACTAGGAGTAAACACAGGAAGATGGAAAATGCAAAGAAGCTTAAAAAAACCCTGAAGTGGTGGTTTTTAACATGCTTGGGAAAAAGCATCTGTGGAAGGAAAACATGTGGGTGCCAGAAGTTTCTTTGTATGGATGAATTCTCAGATGAGAAAGCCAATTAAAGCAGGTGTGTGTAGTAGAATTTGCACAGGGCTCTGAATATACTTTATTTTTGAAACAGAGATTGGAAGAGTATTAAGGGAAGAAGCATCATCGATGTTCATTGTGTTCTCATTGCTCTCCTAGGAATTGCTTCTGGGCACTTGAGGAATAGGACTCTGGGTAGAGCCATTTTTAGGTGTGTGAACAACTACATCATTGCTCCCAGGTAGAGACTCAGATCCAGTTCCTGTTTAGGTGTTAGCAAGGATAAAGGAGGGGTAAAGATTGAGGGGTTTCATTGGGTTTTTTTAAATCACTCAATGTAATTTAAAAAGAATTTATATCTGAGCAGGAGGTGCAATTTTTTTTGACTGATCTAACATACTGACCATAATTGCAGACACATACAGCATTTCTCACCCTGCTACCCAAAGATTTTTTTCACAGGTTAGAGCTGCAGGGTTGAAAAGGTAACTCGTAACAAACCACGGAATTGATACTGACACCAGGCCTAGTTCAGCAGTCCAAATGGCACCAAAAAAGCAATACCTTTCTTCCTGCTCTTCAAGGACCCAGAGGAAATAACTCATTATGGAATCATGCCCAATTTTGACAGGTATTAAAAGGATCAACTGCACACCTCCTTCAGAAAGGACACAAGCCTTGGTGTTCAACCAAACTACAAACAACCACTAACATTTTATCCCTGTGTTCCCATTATTTCTTTCAGTACCACAGAGCAGTACTTGGGCATGAGGTTCCAGAGAAGGGAATGCAAACTTGAACAAGTCTTTACTGAATATTGATTGGATCAAAGGCCCACAAGCAATAAATATGATGGTGCTTTATCAAAGCAAGTCAAAGCAATATTTATCAGAGCTCACAAAGAAAGCCCAGTAAGAGACAGATGGGTAAGACTAACCCTACAAAGGACAAAGTCATTGTGGGATAAAAAGCCTTTTATTTGATTTTTACAAAATAACTTGTAAAAAAAAATCACCACATACTGGATATATGCAATATATTAACTTACACATTCCTACCCACTACCTGACAGACTGAGTTTTGCATTATTTCTTTGAAAGAGAAAGAATACCTGCAATTCTAGGCCTAAAACCCAAGGAAGGCTCTCCTTTGAGTTCTCTTTGCTGACTTCAGTCCTAAACAGTAGATGGTGCAACAACAGCAGATTCACTGAGGTTTCCTGCTACACTTTGCCTAACTGAAAAGTCTCTTTATGAGGTTTGTTTCCCCCCAGTTTTCCTGGTTTTGCTTTTAGGAGGTATTTTGATTTTCTCTTTTTAAAGCCAAGATGATTGTTTTTTCTGTTCAATGAGCAGCACCACTACATCAACACTAAGGGGTAAATATTTCCAGCAGAGTCAGGGCTGAGGAGTATCACACCATCTAGGAAGTAATAACTGGGAACGGCATTCTCATTTTGTCTATTTCCCATACCAACAGTTTTTATTACTTAGCACAATGCATATTCCACTTAAAGCTAGAATTGTGTTGATGCAGTTCAGAGACCATAGAAAACCCTTCACAGAATCAAAACACTTTTATTATCATTTATCATAGTTATCATTTATGATCCAAAATTGTTCTCAAAACTAATATTTAGTTTATCAATGTGATCAGTTGCATCTTAGCAAACAATACAATTATGCAGTTACCTTCCATTAAGAAGTACTGTAAAATATATACAAATGTTGCTTCAGGCAAATGTCCTTTTTTCAAGTGCACAAGTTGCATTTCTGAATGAGTGCATCTCTCCACTTCAGCACTGAGTCCCATCAAGTGTACAGAGAGGTTTCACCACAGCATTTTGTAAAACCATCTTAATTATTAACTTTACTCACCTTTCAAAGACTCCTTCTGAAAGAAAATCACAAAGGTACAATATTTATATACATAAAGGCACAGCAATTCTGTTGAAACCAGCTATGTAACAGTACAATAGAGTTCGATCAGTGCCTTTCATGCAACAAAGTTGATTAACAAATGTAACTCCTCTTCCAGAAAAATTAACTGCACAAGGCGTGTATCCTTCCATTCTGGTAAGAAGAATAACAAGCTATTATTTCATCAGCTCAAAAGGAATTTTGAAGAAATACATAAAATGCTTTTTCTTTCTGCCTAAATTAGCTAGACATTCAAAGCTATTCCTCATGGAAAAAAAAGTTTCCAACTAAGAGCCAAGGTGAAATTTCATTTGTGCTAAGAGATGGCAGACTAAATGTTTCTCTAATGATAGTTTTGTACAAATTATAAATATTACATAGGTGCTGTCCTAGGAAATGGCATGACCAGCCACAGAATAGCCAGTTCTAGTGACAGATCAGGAACTGAGATGGGAGAAAACTTAGAATCCAAAGGACAGATCTTGATCAGATGTAAGTGAATTTATTGTTAGAACCACACCCCTGGTAAGTCCAGAGTCAAAAAGACTCCATGCAATGGACAAAAAAAAAAAAAAAGTACTTTTCTCTGCAAATTCATCTTCAAGTTGTCGTTTCTGAGACTTCAGGGTTTTCCTAGAAATCAGTTGCATTGAAAGAGTATTTGCACTTGTACATGTGTGTAGAGCTGAGCACCCAGCAGGCAGACTCTGAACTGCATCAGTTAATCCACGCCCAAGGCTTTGAGCTGGCGCTCGATCTCCTCATCTGATATGGTGGTGGCGGTCGATGCCGATGCAGACGGCAAACCTCTGGCAGCTGAGGGAGCTTTGGCCATCTGGAAAGATAGAAGTTTTCTTCAGTCAGAATAATGCAAACTGACTTTTAGAACAAACTATTTTTAAAAAATGGAATGCAGTGGAAAAAGCGCATGAACTGTGCAAAAATAGCCATACCTTGCCAGAGATTTCAATCCCGATCTCGTCAAGCACTTGATTAACAATATCTTGGCTTTCTTCCTCTTCATCAGAAGCATCAAAAATGTCATCGAGAGTATCATTAACTTAGAAGAAAGAAAAAGAATCCAGACTGTATTAAGCAAAAAGGCAACTAACATGGCCTAGTACCATCTTTCTACCCTCCCAGAACACAGCAGTAACACTATGGTGTAAGATTCCAGCAGGTGTTAGAGAGGCTTTCGTAGCTCTGCCTTGCAAAGCCTGTGAGCACAGCCAGGGCAACAATAAGGTAAGGCATGGCTGCTTTTATAAAAATATTCAGTTCCACCAAAAGAGTTCAGCTGCTGTATCTCCTCCTCCATTAGATTTTAACACTTCTACAAAACACCTGTAGTTTCATAAAAATCCCCTTCCTCTCTTCTTCCTCCAAGTACGTTGCAAAGTTGTTAACTACTCAGATAACTTGTGTGCAGTTGAGGTCTTTCCATCTTGATCAACAGCACTTGTTTGAGTCCATGCTACTTAATATAACCAGGAATATATACTTAATATAACAGGGCAGGAATTGGGATGGGGAGAAGACTGTGAGCAACACCAGGAATTAGCTAACAGTGAACACACGCACTCTGGAACAAGAAACTTGCTGCCTCCCCAAAAAATTGTTTATGGCTTAATTTAAGAAAAAGGAGACAGAATCATATCATACCACCATGTGCAGAAAGCTGAGATTATCAGTATCTAAATTAAGGCACATTTTCAAGTCCCCCTACTAGTTACGCCATCAAGGCCTTGAATGGCTCTCAAACCCTCTTCTCCACCTTTTAGAATGTTCCTTCTAAAAATATGATGTTTTGCAGAAGATGGGAAGGAACAGATTCTAAGATTTAATACCTAGAGCTTCTAAAATTTCTAAGGCTCAGCATTCCTACTCAGATATATATTGTTTTATTTGCTCTACATTTTTGCTGACATTCTCATTAACTCTTCAAACATCAGTGTTATCAGTGTTTTTAGGCTGGTTCTCCCCTGCCAAGAGAAGCCAGTCCTCTGCAATGCAGAACTTACTCATTTCTTCAGTCATTTCCATCTTCATGTTTTCCTTCTGGAAATTCTGCATAGTTTGTAGCGTCTTTTGTGGATCCATCTTCTTATTAACTGCTTGCATTGTCTATTAATATGGAAAAAACTCTTAAATCATACAATGAGACATTAGTAAATATCAGTGCATTCATTAAGAAAAATGCTTTAATCCAAATTTCACTTTCCTTGTCTCTTTACATCTCATGAGAACTGTAGGCAAGTGACAAATCAATAGTACAGCCTGCACTTAGTAAGAAATATTGCTGTCTAGTGACCTAATAGACAGACTTTTAAATGTGTGCATCTTTCTTGCACCATGACTCTCCCCTGGCCTTGTATTAGGAAAAATCCAATTGATCTGAATGAAAAGAATGGAGAACATTTCCTAAGTTGAAGGCTACACACATTAAAGAAGTAAATGGCTGCAGGTTCTTATTCAGAAAGGACCATTTATTTGAACCACCACTGGAGGACAGGACTTAAATTGTTTCTTGATGTTACAATTTAATGGAAAAATTACTTTACTCTGGAAAGAAAATCTCCAAGTGTTGAGGAAGTACTTGTTTAGGGTGCACCTGTGTTATGGGTGGAGATCTTGCTGTGACAGTGAAATAAACTTCACCCATTTTACTACAGGTGTGCAGCACTGCCTTTGTGGGCACTGCTATGGGGTGCTTCCCTCTTTCCTAAAAAGCAAGTTACTGTGGACTATCAGAATCTAAATAGAGACATAAGCAATCCAAATGTAAAATTTAACCATCTTTGAGGAGATAAAAGACTTGGTTAACTAAAAGAGAGGGTAGCAAGCCACTACAGGCCTCACAGAAGGGCTTCTGCCTTCATGTCTGAGTTTTTTCAAGGTGATAATGTATTATGATACTAATGTTACTTGAATTTCAAAGACTGTGCTCATGGTCACATTATTTGAATTTAAGAAGTTGTTCTGGACTTGGAAGGTGTTGGTATAAATGGATATCAAAAGTATCTGCACTGATAGAGAGCTTACATATCTTCAGAAAATAAGGATCAAATGCATGAAAAACAGGCAACTCAGCTGGACTTTACTATGTTCAAAATTAGCAACATATATGCTAAGTATACTGAAAGTATGCATACTTGAAAAGCTTTGCATTCACATATTTGCTTTGCTTGTTAAGGCAACTGATCCCAAACATTTTTCACTGATACTTTTATGGGATTAACAATTATTTGAGCTTCCCATGTTGATAAGGCAAAATATTCACTTTAAAATGAATCAAAATAATTTAAGACCTTTCTCTCCAATAATGTTACACAAATTGTACATACGTTTACCTGCTGTTTGAAAATACTTTTGAATTTTTTTCCTACTGACCTAATCTTCCTAACTACTCCAGTGACTTTGGTTTTGAGAAATTTAATCCAAGATCTATCACAAATAAAAGCAAGCCACCCATGTAATAATTAAAAAGCAAGACTAACTTGTTCAGGAGTGCTGTTGTAAGAACATTGACTAAGGTGTTGAAGTTGATCAGTCAGACAAGTCCAATTTGTAAATTTGCTGCAGAGCCACAGTTCTGTATCACTGGCTGGCTGGAATCTGCCCTCATGCTGTGTCTAAAAAGGCACCTGACCACCAAGCCTCTGTGGTAATTCATTTCTGCACCAAGTTGCATTGCTGTGTTTAACTGGATTTAACTTGGACTGGGATCAAAGCCCATCTTGGTCTACAGTGATGTATACTAATTCTGCTTCCTGCACCTCCAGCTGAACAGTCCTCCTTGTCAAAAGCCAAATCCCTCTTTATCAATTCAGGGTAATAGGGGAAAGTTCACACCTAGCTCAGAAAACTGAGAATTTTCACTCTTTTATGAGATGAGATTTGGGAGAAAACTTAATGCAATACTCTTTCCTGAGAGAGCATAGAGAGAATGACAGCAAACTCCAGATTAGATTTTTTTAGGAATTTAAGATCCAAAGCAATAACCTACTTTTTACAAAAGCCATAAAGCTATTGTGGCACACTGCCTTGACTTCTAGACGAATCATGCCCTACTTATTCCCAGTAAAAACTGCTTATGACAATAAACACAGGCAAAGCACTGTAGCAGCAGGGTCTGGGGCTTTTTATGTACTAAAAGAATTCATTCACTGGCATTAGTTTATTTTTATTATGTAAACATTTGACAGATGTCTAGCCCAAGAAAGTATGTAGGTGCTATGTGGATAGACTGACCAAACAAAAATGTAACAATATAAATCCAAATTATGTTTCCATACTGTAGCCTCACCACCCCTGTGCAGTGAGTTTTAGCCCTGCAATTACCTAAAATAACACAATTTTTGCAACCATATGCTGCATTTGAATATAATGTGGCACCTTACTTTTGCTGTAGCTGACATAGCTCCTGCCATCTTCATCTGGGAGTTCATGACCTTGGTTTGAGTGGACATGGACGTGACTTTAGAGCTCACAGCATAGGTTCGATTCTTCTGCTTCCTCAGCTGCACCAGCTGCTTTGCCAGCACCTTGCAGGCTTCTTTGTTACCAGTCTTAGCCATTTTCTTGATTTCCAGTTCCTGTGAAAAAAGGTGTGAGATTAATTCCACAGAATTTTCATCCACGTAAAGACTATAATTAAGCCTTACCGCTAATAATGAAATTCAAAATTAACTATCCTCTTGAATCTTTTAGACATTTAAGTTATATAAATAGTTCCTTGCTTTTTTAACAAGGCCGTTTAGCAGAATCAATGTTATACTGGTATGATTTGACCACAAGGAAAAAACTCAGTGAAAATGAATTACACTGTGGTAGCACACAGTTCCCCCAAAGAATTCAATTTCTGCATGATGTCACATTCACTACTATGTGCACATTTGATTCCATATCTGGCTAAGCAGCCACACTTCAAAAAAAGCCCCAGAAAGTGAAGGAATTATGATGTCCAGTCAATTACTGGTGCCATGTTTCTAATAAACTTTGTTTTCTTGCAATCAAACAACATCACTGGTGTAAGAAATGGACAGTTCTTTTCAACTCTTTTTCAGCCTCAAGAGAACCTCATAGTTTTTTTGGGGAAGAAGTAGATAAAGTTATATTATAGGCCAATAATTTTAGGCTCTTTACTCTTATGATTTAGCTGGATTTAAATCATAATAAAAAATAGCATAATTTAACATGGGCTTATGCTGTAAGAAAGACATTTCTGTCTTAGAAAACCAAACCCCAGTCTGTCAATTCAAAGAGAAATAACAATCTGTTTAGCCCAGAGGTACCAGGAAAAAGCCTGGCACAAATAATCTTGTCAGCTGGGATTCTTCAAAGTGTGCCTTCTGATTTGTGACTTGGTAATGTAAAAATTGCAACAACTTTTCCCTTTACAGCTTTTTTAAGCAGGACTTGCCACAGTGCCTCCGTTTTCTGTAGGTGTCCATTTGTCCATTTTGATTTTTACTATTAAGTAAAAGCAGCTTTTAAAGACCAGCTTTCTCCTGGATTTTTCAGGAGAATAGGCCTGCTACAGGTATGCAGTTGCTTCACTTTATGTGCACTGGTAATACAGAAAACTGCACTTATAAGAAGCTATGAAAAGATAAATCTTAGTCCCCAGGACATGCAGAACAGTCACCTTTAAAGGCAGGTGTAAACTGGCCCACTGCATTACCCTGACTACCAGAAAAGTTCAGTTAAGTTTATTCCAGAGATGGCTCTGGCACAAAATCTCCTCTGCAGATTCCTAATTTCTAAAGGGTGTGTCACACACACTATTTTTAATCCAGGAAGGTACAGAGTGGCAGTGAAGCAGCATGAGACTGTTCAAACATTAGAGGCCTGAAATAGAAGTAAAGCTGTGCTCTTTGAAAGTAGCTCACAGAAGCCACAAAAATTCCTGTAACATCACCAGAATATCACTTCCCCTTTTTTTTTGTGTCTAAAGTATTGTGAAGGTTGGAGGGATCCGTCTGCACCCTGTATTTTAACAGTAAATGTTTGAATATAGGGATTTTCTCAGTAAGTTGAAAGACCTTTTATAACCTGATTTTTTCAAAGCAAAATACAAACCATTGCTAAATCACTGCAGATAATCCACCTGCAGAAATCAAACCCTATATACAGATGATTTTATTCCTAATTAAAAAGAACTTAGGTAAATTTGGTGTGCATTATCTGGTTTTGAGAGGTCTGGGGCAAGCTTACTGAAGTTCTTATGTTCTTCTGGGAGAAAAATAAATATCAAAATTTGTATAGTTATATCAGGTTACTGAACTGAAACAAAGCTGTCTGCATACATTAAGGTATTTTTATCCATAGAATTAATGTAACTGTATAACTGGGTTTTCTCAGAGTAGTATTTTAAGGGGAAAAAAGGTCTTTCTAGAGAAAGCACATAATGAAATGTTTTGAGATTGACTGATAGGCACCTGATCCTTCTTCACCTGATCTGACACTGAAAATTAGTATTTATTGTCCATTGCTACTCTTATTCCAGCAGTAAATTTTAAGTTATTTATAAGCAACCTACTATATCTTACATGTCCAAGGCTTTCAGAAACAGTTTTTCTGATCTTTTAATTTATTATTCCCAGCTCTTGCTATTCATGCAACTTGCTGCCACAAACCAGCACCTCAATAGCTGCTGGAACAGGCTGGATTTGCACAGCTTTTCCCACAGTCTGAGCATTCTTCACGCATCAAACCCCACCATCTGGCACATCCATTTCTCCTCTTATAGAACCACACAGGTGCAGCATTCAGCCACTGAGTACTTGAAAGCTCATACACAGAAAGTTCTGAATACATCTTAATTTAGGCAAACAGTCCTACTATTATCAGCTAATTTTAGGGAAATTCTATCTGAATGAAAAGAACAAAAACTGTGGTTTTTCAAGTACTCTCTCCCACTGGACAGTCATGGTAACATGATAGCACTTCTACTTCTTTTAATTTTTCCACCATATGACAAGTGATTTACAAAGCTTTTAGAAAAAACACCTTCTGAAAGACAGAGAATGCTGGGAATTGTAGGGAAAACCCAATGTGGTTATTTTATCTAAACACAATGTTTCAGGATTTTCCTATGTCAAAGGCTGAGAATCACTTTTAGACAATAAATATTTTCCAACACAATTTTAACTGAGAAATGAAAAAGGGAAGAAAACTGCTTTTTAGTATTTCATTACTATGCATTGATTTGTATCTTTAAAACCTTGCAAGTTTTTTATTACGTGTGTGCGTTTTTAAGAGCAAATAAAGTTCCCTGTCATACTTACCAGTTGTTTTTCCTGTTTTTCAAGTGCTGCTCTATCTCTGCTTATAGCCCTCTGTGTACCTCTTAACTCTCGATTTTGCTCCTTTATTATATCTGGAAAGAAAATATTGATAGCTGGGCAAAGTTTTTCAACACTCCATAAACATCTGCTAAGCACCCTGCAGACATGCAGCATGTTTGACACCTCCCTTGGTTCAGACTGAAGTGTCAGTGTTTCAGATAAAGAAAATATTAGCAAAACACAATTTGGTGTATACAACATCATTGTGCCAGCAGTGTGGGCTATATTCTGTCAAAAACAAAAAAAGCTGTTTTACCTGGGATGCTACTTTGCACCATAACCATAGCAAGAGCCTTAACCCCACAGTAAGACATCTCTACACACACTTTCCTGCAAGCCCAGCACTAACTCAGCAATATCATGGTCACTGCAGTCCCACTGCTTTTCCCCCAGCCAGGCCTAACTGCAACAGGTAGGGCAGCTGAAGTAGCCTTGATTTATGAGAGCTCAGAGCAGGTGAGGAGTCCCCAGCTCCACAAAACAGTGACAATAATCCCATGTGCAAATCCTGGATCCTGCTCTTCTCTGTCCTTATTCTGCTCTGAGGGAGCTTCCTCTCCTCCACATCTGTGTAGCCCTTCTCCAAGTCAGTCAATAAAGCAAGAGTGTTTGAAACTCTTCAATTAGGAGATGCTTAAGAATAGTAGGTATGAAAGTGAAGGCATTTACAACAAATTAGAGTTTACTGACAACTGATGTAGCAAGCAAAGCTTGAACACTGTCTGTCAGGTAAAACTGACTCCTTCATAGGAGTTTTGTACTCTGTACTATTAAAAATTATATACTGATAACATCCTCTTATTAGAGCAAGTATTATTTAGAGTCTAGGCATCAATCACGCTAGCTGCAACTACCTTTTGACAGGATTTACAGCACATGCTTGGGTGTGATTCACCTGGGCAAAGGCAGAGCAGGATGTCTGCATGTGACTCAGCATCCTCTGACCTCCACAGCAGAAAGCAGTTATTATGGGGGAGAGATTCAGCTACTCCTGTTCTATGTCTGCACTTTGGGTGGGAGTTTGATAGGAGCACACTATCACGTAAACTTTCTTTAGAGCTCATGAAGGATAAATTCCAGAATCACAGGACACCCTTTTAATTTTTTAAGGTTTGAGGCAATTTTGCTACAAACAGCAAGAAGCATTCACATTCTTCACTCCCAAAGGCAGAAATACTGTAAAACATCCATTACTGAAATTATAACAACATTAATAGGTTTGAATCAGAACAAAATCCCAAACCTTTAGTGGCATTTTAAAGACAGAATATACATTTCCTCTTCCATCCTTGCTGGAGATTGCCTAGTTCTTGGGCAAAGAAATATATATTTTAAAAAAAGTGTGAAAATGACACCTGTTTTTACAATGCTACTACTGCTGTGAGTACTACAGAAAAAGCATCTTTGGGAGATGCACTGAAAAGTGGACAATAACTACGAACTGAAAGATGGCATGGAATACAACTGCATTTTTCACACTGGCAAAACAGCAGAGAATATAATTCTGAAAATGCTACAGGCAAGTAATTTTGAAGGTAGATAAATGTATATTACTTGCACAGCTGCACTTGGTGAAATTGAAAGTAAAAGCATGATAGCTACATACAAGACTGGCTTTTCTAACTACACTACTTTAAAAAAAATCCTTAGTATAGTGAGCTTGAGAGGTAGGAACTTCAACGTAACACCAAACAAGAACAGTACTTAGGAGACAATAAGGGTAAGCATGATGCTTATTTCTGTAGTTTCTGATCCCCCATAGTGGCTTAAACTAAGGATAGGAATAAACCAAAAACGACTATCTGCAGTTACAGACTGTTTAATTTGTTTTTTTAAGTGAAGGCCAAGGTAAGAACTTGGTTCTTGTTTATTTCTGATAACCGAGGAAAATTCCCAGCTATTAGAGCAGGCAAAATACGACAGGTTATTCTGAGATAAATCTTATGCTAATAGCCACTCGTGTGTGTCACACTATCGTCACACCCAAACCAGGGCAAGGAGGAAGCATTCCTTAAAACAGGATAGACAAGAGACATCCAGCAGGGCTTGACCTGACTCCTGCAATCCTTCCTTGGTCATGGAAGCTTAATGCCAACTCCCCTTCTTCCCCTCTCGGGTGCCACATCTAAAACGGGAAGAGCCCGGGGGGACCTGTGCGTGCTCCCCTCCGGTGACACACAATTGGTTGATGTGCAGCGTCATTTCTTGCGAGCCCTTTTCAAACGCCGACCCACCAGATGTGACACGGGGCACCCAACACGCCGGAGAGCCGAACCTGGGGCTGGCCAGCCCTGGGGCACGGCGTGTGGAGAGTGAGCCCGGCCCAGCGGCCTGCTGGCAGCCGAGGCGTCCTTGGGGGCTTTACTTTGAGGATCGCTGTTCCAGATGAAGTTTAAGCGTTTTGGTACCGGACTGGCTACAAAGAGCCAAGACCAAGTTGTTTACACAGCGGCGCGGAGCCCGTGGCTGGCGGCGGCGGCTCCCGCAGCCCGGACGTGGCTCCCGCACGGCGGCACCGAGCGCGTCCCGGCTCCCCCTGGGCCCAGCAGCTCCCGGCGGGCCTGTTCTGCGTCCCTCGCTGCTACCGAGCCGTGCTGCTCCTCCTCCTCCCTCACCCACAGCCCGGGCCGGCCGGGCCCGGTCCCACCCTGCCGGTGCGCCGGGAATGCCTCACCCCGCCGTGCCAGGGCCGGCCCGGGCGCTCTCCCTGAGCACCGCGGGTGAGTCACGGCGGGCGGGCCGGGGCCTCCCGCTCCGCACCCGCTCCGCTCCCGCTCCGCCGGGACGCGGGGCCCGAGGCTGCGACCCCCGCCGGGCCCCCGCTGCCCCGGAGCCCCGGCCGGGAGCAGCCCCGCGCCCGGGGCCGTGCGAGGTCTGGGGCCGCCCCGGGCGCCCACTCACCGTCCACGGTCTTCTTCTTGAAGAGCGAGGCCATGGCGGCAGCCGGACCCCCGCACCGCCTCGGCGGGCTCCCGTCGCCTCCTGCTCCGCTGACCAGGAAGCGGCCGGGCCGCGATCGCCCGCCCGGCTCCGCCTCCCGGCGCCGAGGGGCGGGCGGGGCCGGGCCGGGGCTCCGCGCTGCGCCCGCCCACCCTGCGGGCTCGGGGCTGGCCCGGGCCGCGGGAGCGGCTGTGTTGCTGTGTCTCTTGCTCCCTGAGTGGATTTTGCTGCTGTCCGCCTTCCTTTGGCCACCCCGAGCCGCGGGAGAGGCGCTGCGGGACCGGCCCGGCCATCCTGGGGGCGAGCCGGGACAGGGCGGGGATGTCCCGGCTCCCCGCTCCCTGCCCCGCTCGGTCCCTTGGGTTCTCTTCTTGTACGTGTAGTTATTAAAGATTAAAATGAAAACATATCAGAAGTTAATTCGGCAGTGGTCTCGTTGGAAATAGCAAGTTTTCAGTGGTTTCCATGCGCCCCTTTAGATGTTTTTCAGTGGCTGAAATGCAGATCATGTGTGCACAGCTACTATGGGAATCCAGCGAGCTTCTCTAAGGAAACCTGGTGCGTGGGCATCTGGAGGGATTTGGGCACGGGTCAATTAAACACGCAATTAAGCAGTGGGGTCGTTGCCTGTCCATGACAGATGAACCGTCCGGTTCGGGATTTTTTGTTCGGGATCATCCCGGCTCTGGGCTCTCACCCCAAGCCACTGCTGAGTTTGGAGAACTGATTACACATGAGTTTTCTTGGATATGCTTTGTCTGAGGGTCACAAGCACCGCTGTGCACAATAGTACGGAAAAATGAACAATAATTTTCTTGGTTTCAATATGTAATTACAATCCTAAATTTTTAATAAGGTAGTTTATAACATAGCTGTGGTTTCATTGTTGGCGATTGCCTTCATATGCATCATGCCCTTAGAAAATAAAAAGAGGGCCTTTATTAAAAAAGACAGAGCTGTAGGTTTGAATACCAGCTAAATATAACTTCCCTTACTTTGAAGTGTTGGGGATGATTATGTTAATGTGCAAGGAAAAAAAGAAGTGACTGGAATGTAGTAATGCATTTTGATGGCTAGATATAAATTCAGCCTTAGAAACAATCGTAAGTTTATGGTTCCAGTACCCTAATAAACCACACTTTTATAACCTTGCATGGAGCAACAATCTATTAGAATATTGTAATAGCAATGTAAGCATGTATGTCAGCATAGGAAGGTACAGACTGTCTGCTTACTGTCAGTATTCATTGATTCTCTGAAAACACTGGTTTTGTTGTAAATAGCAAATTTTCATTGTTTTGCATGTGTCCTTTTAGTTATTTTTCACCGATTGTTACAGGCTGAAATCCAGACCGTGTGTGATGACATCAGTATTGTGGAAATTTGGTGCTTCTCTATGAGGCAAATTAAATAAAATACACTTTAGAAGTTCATTCCTGCATGTCTGTACTCTTTGTTAGGTAGATCAGACATGGGTTAGTAAGCAAGACTGAAATTCAGGTTTTGAAAGTGCACAGATGAGGGGGAGGAGAGCACTTGTAATTTAGATTCAGATCCCCACTTTCCTTGAGAGAGAGGCTGGGCAGCTTGACTATGGGTACTCTTAAATATTGCTAATTAGCTATGAGACCAGAAATTCATTTTTCCATAATATTTCTTCATGAATGTTTAATTGTGATGAGATAAACAAAGATGTCCATAATAGGCTTCATGACTGCAATAAGTACAGTATGTCTGAGCTGTTGCTTGCCAAGACTGACTTTTCTGTGTTGTAAGCCTGAATGCTGGAATGCTATTGTATGTATTGATAGTAGTAACAAGAGAAGACTTCAAATTTATCTTTTACATTAATAATGCTTAAATATCAGTGTTTCTTTGGTTCAGGATCTAATCACCAATCAAAATGTAAAAAAAACCCAAAAAAAACCTTAGTTCTTTATGCTACAGATAAATCTTAAAAATCAATCAGGTGGAATAAATAATCTTTCCTTAGTGACTATATGCAAATATCTCTAGCAAACCAAAGCAAGGACTCTGTGTTTCCTGTTTGTTGGATTTACAGTGAAACTGGGACACAACAACTGGTTCAGCAGGAGGATATAATGTTCTGTATTAATTTAAAAATGAAAACCTTCAAATCAAAATACGAAAAATGAATGGATAACAAAACCTTATTAAAGCTAGTGTTCAGTGATCCAGAGTTGTACTTAGAAAAAAACAGGAGGGAGGGTTTGTTTTCAGAGGTATAGATAAGCTATTCTAGTTTTGAGGCATAGAGTATTTAAGCACATAGTTAATTTGAACCAGGTGATGAGGTTCAGTCTGCTTAAATCTAAGCAAGTGTAGGTGGTCAGAGGAAATGGCTGCTATGAAGAGACCCGGAAAAATTGTTGCTTTCATGTACTGTTCTATAGATTAGTAGATAAAGAATCTGATTTGAAAAAAAATCCTTTCCTGACCATGTTCTCAGGAGAAAAAGGACAGGTGAGTTTTCAGATGTGTGAGCCTTGAAGAAGATCTTGAGGTCATGCTTTAAGTCTTTTCAAGATTTGTGGTCTAATGAAGGTTGCTAGTCTTCCCTATCTCCTTTTCTAGTGTGAGTAAAATATTGCAGCTGAACTTTCCCTGACAACTAAGGCAGACTGTCTTGGGTTGCTTTGTGGATAATGACCCAAATTCAGCACTGCTTGATCTATTTTTTGCCTAATTCCTGCTCTGCAGATATAAGGAAATTAAATGAGGCTGTGTGTAGTGAAGAATGAAGTGGTTAACTTGAAAATTACAGAGGCCTGAGAAAGATAAATGATCAAAGACTGTATAAATGTATTGCTATATGAAATGTGAAGCACTTTACATGTAAAATAAAGTTATGAGTAGAAGTGTCTTTGGTGCCTCAGCAAGTGGCCACTTTCCAAATTCTGCAATGCTTTACCTTATCCTGGAGGAGCCCCATGGGAATTAAAGTACTTACTTGTGTAAGAGTCCATGAGATTGTGCTAAAGGCTCCATGACTTTATACCTTGTCATGTGAAGGTGGGCTGAGCTAGGAGGGGGGCAGAAAGGAAAAAGCAGGGAGAAAATTCCAGACCCTAATGAAGCTCAGGCTGCAGTTCACCCAGACATCTGGATCTACAGTGGCACTAGGGGAATGTTGTGGCTGTGTTCGATGTAGTGGTGGTGCTAAATGTGTGGCTCTGCTGAAGTCTGTGTGTGTATCATCCTGTTATCTCTAAGTGCACCCATTAGTAGTGGAACCTGGCAATGGGAGTGTGCTCTCCCTGGTCGGGAGGGCATGGAAATACAGAGGCACAAAATCTGGGAGGATTAGAAGAAGGTGAAGCAGAAAAGAGCAGGTGAGGAGTGGTGGCCAGCAAAAAACCAGGGTGTAAATACTTGATGAGTAAGGTGTTGGAAATGGTAGCAATAAATGAAGACAGCCCTAGTAAAGAGAATAGAGAAGGTGAGAAGGAGCAGTCTGGGAAATGCTGTGGCTGTAAGATGGTGGGGGTTTTCTCCAGTGCTGCAGTTCTAGAGGGTTCAAATGAGTCCAGATTAGTTTGCCTGCTTTATTAAAAAAGAAAGCGCTTATTTATTTGTGCAAGTGTAAAAACATTGTTTTATACAGCATATCTCACTCTCGCCTTGCAGATTAGACACCTTTCCAGCAGCATTGTGGAAAGCTCATGAGAACTGAAAAATACCTCATTTGTAGGAGGAAAATGGGGAGTCACGTCTAGCAAGTACAAAGGTATGAAATAACCTTTATAAATGCTAAAAGTAAAATTATTGAAATTGATTTGATAAGAGAAAATTAACTGGCTAAAATAATGCCCATAGTGAATTGCTGTTCAGTAAGAATAATGCCACCATCAATGAGGTGGCAAAGGGAAACAAGTCAGTAAGCTGAAGATCAGTAGATTGCCTATTTGGAAATAGCTTACAATTTTAAACATTTTAATTTTTAAAAAAATGTATTTTTTATTGATCTAGAAAAAATATTGAGGAATGTGGTGAAGCTGAAATATATGAGAATGTTTTGCTTTCTATCTGTTCACAATTTAACTTAACCTGGGCATGTGTGTGAAGCAGAGAGTATATTGTTGGTCTTATTCATAACTCAATTGTTTTTTGCTTTCCCTGCCTAAAAAGAATCGATTGCCAATAGACTGCCACTCTTCTAAGCTTTATACCACACAAGGTGCAATGGGTAGAGGGTAATACACATTTAGTTGTGTAAGCATGTCTTGATTTAATTTGTTCTTGTGAGTACTTGCTGACATCTATGGAGATTGAGATTGTCTTTTTATGAGAGAAGGTATTTGTGATGTGCATGTTTTGCTTGATACTCTGCTTAATTTGCTTGACAGACCTATGAATAAGTAAAAACCAGCAGGAATGAGTTGAAGGAAAACTGTAGTGCATGAAATGTGAAACGTTACTCTAGTTTGCTGAAAAGCTTTTAGTGAACTGAAACCTCGAATGTATAAAGGATGTTGCCTTTATCTCAATTTTTTTCTCCTAAATGCATTTACGAACCATTCTGGGTGCAAAAAATCCCCAACCCAAAATAACTCCACCCTTAAAAAAATCCTCAACAACAAAAAGAAAACTGCCCAACTCCCTCATCCTTAATATATGTGAGGGTAGGCAAGTTTTTTTCTGTTGCACAGAGTTAGCCTAACAAAGTAAGATGTTTATGTATGCAAGAGTACACCTTACTTTTAGCCACTTTCAGCATCTTCTTAATAAAGTAAGAGTACTTTACTGTACTTCATGCACATAATAAGCAGTTCACTTTGTGAAGCCCCCTCAAAGCCTACCCCCCTCCTTACAGAAGTCTGGTCTTAATTATCACCTTGATTGGTGCTAATAGGACACTTTTGACTTGCAGACTGCATCTTTTATAACCTTCACATCTGATTACAAGGTTTTTCCTTCATGGAAGAGCAAATGTTTCACTATAAAATAGTGCTATTACTTTATACAAGCAGAGTCAGTTTTGCTTCAGTAATCAAATACAGTAGAACGTCATATTTCTGTAGTGCATTCATGAAATCTAAAGTTATACTTTTAAGAGCTTTTGCTTGCAAATATCATTTCTTTAAATGACTTT